ATTTCACTTTGCTCCATCTAATTTCATCAATCCATACAAAACCTGAAAGCTAACTACAATTGAAACGGACGCAGTCGGAAGCCCTAGAAAATAGCAAGCGCAAAATCTAGAAAAAGAAAACAGGATTGCAAGCGCAAAATCTGTCAAAGATAAACTGGAATCCACCAGAACAAAGAAAAGTTCAAAATTTATTATATAAAAGATAACTCTTATGGTCATGCCAAAAGTCTTTAAATACATAAAACAAAATAACCCTAATACAATAACCCTAATTGGCCTTATGGCCCTTCAATCCAAAATCTAATTAAATAAAACATGATTAAATAAAATAAATAAAATAGGAATTGCTTAAATATTAAAATAATATTATTTAAATTTTAAAATGCTTTCTGACACGCAATATCTTCTTCGATACGCCAAGGCAGTCCTCCTACATCAGACTCCTTCACTTCTGAAGAACTCGATCCCAAATTCTCTTTTTTATAAAGAGCTTCATCTGACTGCAATTTATTGTAAATATCAATTGAAAATCTCTCTTTATACAGAAACTCTATCACATCTTCTCCCACATTGAAAACTTTAACTTTCATGTATTTATCTCATATAGGCGGGAAATTGTTTGATATCTCATATGTGGTCAAATCCTTGAAATCATTTATGACCTTTAACACTTCATCTGGAATTGTTTTCTCTTTTACAACACTAATTATCTCTTTAGTCAATACTGGACATAAAAATTTAGTTTCTTTAATAGCCTTATCAAGCTCCTTTTCACTATGTGTCATCAACAAGAAACTAGATTTAATTCCTCTTGAATTCTTATCAAAGTGCAAAACAAGGTCAATAGCAATTTCATGTGCGTCCCATGTAAACATCATCACGTTATCACTTCCTCGATAAGTAATATCGTTATCAAATTTCCAAAGCCTACCAAGTAAAACATGACAAACATATATATCAAGATTTCCTTCTTTTACCTCACTGATTTGCAAATGTTCCATGTTTTCATCTATGTCACGATTTTCACCTTTACTTGCAGGCATATCAAAAGTTAGTAGCTTTGAATTTTCACTTAAAAGACATTGCTCTTCAGATTTCAAAACAACTGCAATTGTAAAAGAATCCTCACTCACTTTAGTACCATTATCAAATTGAGAAGAAACATGATTATCCTCGAGTTAATTTTTGCAATTGATTGTGAAACTCGCATTTCATAAATGCCCTTGCGCATCTCATTCATATTTACCAAATTCAGCATCAGCATAATTTACTTCAGTATTCTTTGATGCCCCTTTGACAATTTCGAGCCTTATCTCTTCAAGATGAATTATCTCAAATTTCTTTAGTTCAAAAATATTACTCTCAGCTTTGCAAGGTATAGAGCTTTTTTGTAAGGTGTGTAACTTAGAAATTTTTACCTGAGAAAAAAATCAATGAAAAGGAGATGATTTTTGTAGGTTTAACGATTTCATTGTCCTTGTTTGATGCATCCTGAATGGTGGACGTAGAATAGAAATTGAATTATCCGAAAGTTTGCCACCCTTAACATGTCCTCGTCTCATGTCTCTTCGTTGATTCCCATTGTTGTTGGCGTTCTTCACCTTATTTGCTAAATTCGTCATCTGTTCAATCAAAACAGTTAGAGTCGCGGTAAAAACTGCTGTAATTTTCTCAAAATCTGTTTTAGTTGCCGATTGATCCGCCATAGTTGTCAAGTTACGAAAAGAACATAAAAAAACCTGCTCTGATATCAACTGACACAGTCAAAAACTCTAGAAAATAACAAGCGTTAAACTTAGAAAAGGAAAACAGAATTACAAACGCAAAACCTGTCAAAGATAAACTGAAATCCACCCTAACAAAGAAAAGTTCAAATTTTATTACATAAAAGATAACTCTTATGGTCATTGCCAAAAGTCTTTAAATACATAAAACAAAATAACCCTAATGAAATAACCTTATGGACTTTCGATCCAAAACCTAATTAAATAAAACATAATTAAATAAAATAAATAAAGTAAAAACATAATTAAATAAAATAAATAAAATAAAAATTACTTAAATATTAAAATAATATTATTTAAATATTAAAATGCTTTCTGACACGTGATATCTTATCTTCTTCAATACGCCAAAGCTGCCCTCCTACGTCATAAACTTACATGAATTTAATGTGAAAATTTTCTTCTTCCATGATGAACTTAAAAGAAAAGATCTATAAGGATGTACCCTCGCTAAATCTTGTGAACATAGTGCCACCAATTCGGCGTGCAAGTTTAAAAAGCACTTATATGGGCTAACGTAATCACCAAAAACATAACTTAGAAAAAACCAAGATCATCATACCCTACTTCAAACATTACAAGGACTTGAGGAATTATTTTATCTTTGTGAACAAGTTGGATTTATATTTTAATATTTAAACTTATCATATTGTTATTCTGAAAAAATATATCTAACCAATTGCAACAGAAACTATTAACCTCAAGTGGGTATGTCTAATACCACAAACCCAGCTGTGGCTATAAAATACTATCATACATTGCATTTCAAACCAATGAGATGCAGTTCAAAACAATAATCCAATTGGATCTATTTGATTGTCATGCCTTAATGGCTTGCATTTCAAATAAAACAGCAACTTGTTTCTTTTTTGGTTAATTGGAAAATCAATATTTCAAAACTAGGTGAAAATTCTTTAAAACTAAATAAATTACTAGCTTGGAGTTGAAACCGGAATTTTTAAAAGATTCGACCAAAAAGAATGGTAAAACCCAAAAGATTGCTGCATCACAGAAATACTAATGAGGGATGAAACCAGTTATGGATTATGGTTTAATGCATCTGTATTACTATACAGAAATATACAAATACTTGTAAATGACAACACATGATTATACTACGTAATGAACAAAATGAAAGAATCTTTACATACAAAATTTAAGACTAACAACTACTACATTTCTACCCTCAAACAACCCTTCCAATTTTCAGAGAAAGAATAGACGGATTCACTTCCAAATCAAAATATTTAATTGGATAATACCAATCTATTAATTATATTGATGACTAAACCATCAGCAAATTGACCAAACTCAAACTAAACCAGACATCCTCGGCGAATAAGGATAGCAGAAAGTTTGAGAGAAAATAATGGACAGCAATGAATACAAAACTAAGACGAATATCTGATTAGCAGAATATTATATAGAAAGAAAGATAGAATGAGCTCCAACACATTTAAAAAGAGCATGGGACTTTTAAGCACTGACACTAAAACAAGTCAACAAATAATCATGATGAGACGATGTTTTACTAGAAGATTACAGTATCGATGCTAGGGAAATACAGCTCAAATAAGATTATCGAATGCATCCTAAAAATCGGCATACTATATACAGAAAGCAATATCTGAATAAACCTAGGCTAATGCAAACAGATTTTACTTTTGTTTTGGGTGAAATCGCTGAAAATAGAATTGTATATTGACAAGGTCACTAAAAGTCATTAACTCTAATCCAAATTTAGTTGGGAGCAGAGATAGAGATCACTAAATAAACTTCAGAGCCGTCCCCTTTAAAGAATTTAGGAATCAAATGAAACAACTTTGAATCATATTGGAAGAGATAACCATGATAATGAGAAAGTCGGCAGTTGTGGGGCATTGTTCAGCTGTCAAACTGAGTTTCATGTGAGGATTGTAAGGGCTCAAAAGCCAAAAGGCTAACCAGAAAGAAAATCACACTCGGGTCGACATACATTGTGGTTCTAACCCCTATAACATGTAGCAGGAACTAAGTATTCCTAGCCAAGTGGTATCCAGTACAAGACAGGTAAGAAATGAAAACACATACACAAGTTACGAAATACACTTCTCAGATAAAAAGTATGAGCAGTGTTATATGGCAAAAAAAATTGCAAGTCTCACAAGTATAAGGTCATTGTTGTATAAGACGTAGGAAAGAGGAGGATACCACTCATCCATCAGTCAATGGTCAAATGATATTGACACCGCAAATTCATGATGCTTTTTTGTGATTTGTTTTTCTCATACACAAAAGAAGAGGACGCTGTATCCTCCTGCCTCTGTATTTATCTTCTCTGTCTAATCGAATATCTTTTATTTGACAAAATAAGATCTGTCTTGCAGCATTTCTCTACGTATATAATCAGTCACAGTTGCTAAGATAACAAGGAAATGGTTATATCTAGTTGCAAATACCATCATGCACGGCAGAATTGCAAGATACAGAAACAGAATCAGGGGAAGAAAACGATCAAGAGTATTCTGAAAATTTTCAGATTCACCCCCCAACTTCCTTGTTTTACAAAATTACTTGCATTCCAAGGAAACTAGACAAAGGAGATTACTAGAGACTCGACATCTCATTTGCATTATTATGGCAGATATTTTCAGCAAGAAAGCAACATCAGAGAGTGAGCCACCAGAAACAAAATAAAAACCGCGTCCTGGTTTTCCTCTGAAAATAATTTATGGAGATAAAGATGACTCCACAGTAATTAAGACAAACATTAAGAAAGGGCAGGCAGATCCATGATTTCTAAGATAAAAACACAGATGAGAGTAGATAAAGAAAATAAAAAGGAATGGAACTATTATTCCTACATACAAAACCAGAAATGGATTATCAAGCACAATCATGTTAGCCACTGATATGGAAGAAACAGGATCCAAGTTGAAGAACCCTAGAGAATATTGTCTCCAAGACCAACAGAATAAAAACACAGATGAGAGTAGATTAAGAAAATAAAAAGGAATGGAACTATTATTCCTACATACAAAACCAGAAATGGATTATTAAGCACAATCATGTTAGCCACTGATATGGAAGAAACAGGATCCAAGTTGAAGAACCCTAGAGAATATTGTCTCCAAGACCAACAGAATAACTTTACGGAGCTAAGGAGATGAACAAGGACATGCTTCAATAATTAAACATTTCACCTTCTAAACCCCCCCAAAAAAGAACTTCAACAATTCAGGTGGACATAATAAATGCCTGGATCAAGTTTTCAGCTGCACGTTTCTCTTCAAGTGTGCCAGATATTAGGGCAATACGATCACCGCGGCCAGATTTGGTGTCAGAAATCTCTACCGTAGCTCCTGAAATCTGGTGTTAATCAAGAAGTCATTAAGTAGACATCAAATGAAGAAAATTCTGCATGCATGTGTTACTATGGGAAAGTAAATAGACTAGTATCTCATTATAAGTATGAACGAATTCAAAAAAAATGAATTGCTCTTGTCTTGCAATAAAATACAATAGAAAAATTCAAGATTGCATGGACCAACCTTCCTGATATTTGCTATATTTGTCCCTCCTTTACCCAACACTTTAGCAACAGCATTAGCAGGAATCAACATATCCCGAGTTGATGGGGGAGGCAATCTATGCACGATAAAGGTACAACAAAAACACAAGCTCAATTAACAATTTGACATTGGATCATTTAATATTAAGTTAAGGAAAGAAAAATTGGGGCTTGTGCATGTTTGTTTGGGCCTAAACCCATGTTTATAAAAATATATATACTAACCCTCCATAAGGATTGGAAGCATATGAAGATATAGATCCATAGCTATTTTCCCCCATCTATTAATATAGAATCAAACAAAAGAAGATATCAGTAACATAGATACAATTTGAGACAAAACGGAATATAGATATGTAATGTAACAAAACAGGAAGGAAATAAATTCACTGCACTTTATAAGCATTTTGCACTAGAAAAGAAATGCTCTAAGCAGAACCTCAAAGGTAAAAATACTGAATAGAAGGAACAGTTTTAACAAACCATCTGTTCAACTATCTCCACCCAAATAGTAAATAAGAAAAAGCAATACTATTTCATCCATTATATTCAAACCCAGCTAAATAAAGAGCCATATGATAAAATTTAACTGTACATTGTAACAAATGTTTTACCTTCCCTGTATCTATATACGGGGCACATTAAGTTAAAGATGAGAAGATTAAATATTAGTCCTTAGATGAAATAATTAGTTGAGATCCTGGTTTCCTTAAAACTGCACATTATGTCCCTTCTCTTGCACGCGACTACTATCTTTCTCCTTCTCCCTGCTACTCTCGCAAACTATCCTATATCTTTCTCCTTTTTTTTTCATCTTGTATCCCATCGAATGGCGTGAATGCAGTAGGTTTTATCACTTGGTTGGATTAGAGGAGGTTGATGTCACCAATTGCAATTGCAATTAAGCGGCACTCAATGGAAAGTTGCCACTTGCAATTCAACTAGCTGTTATAATTATGAGACCGCACGAGCATAGTTCAAAGAGATCCATTCAATTGTAATTATGATGTGAAGTCACCTTTAGTTGTTTTTTAGTAAAAATCAAAAACTTCTGTTTAATGGTGCAAAAATACCCATTACTGTAGTTGTACTTGTACATGTTTATTCTATTCATTAAGCCCTAGCCAGCAATATTATTATCTATATTTTCAATCTTCTGGTTTTTTCCTGAGTCACCAACAACGGATGTGAGAAATAAGCAGAAGTGAGGCATGATACCATGATGAGAAACTGAATATTTGACGGTGCCAGTAAATGGGGGTGCTTACAGAAGGTAAAGTTTTAAAACCAATTATATCATTAAGGTTTATTTGATTCAAAGACAAATATATTATCCTCACACCTCCCTTTATATGCCCACATATGTAAATATAATTTTTTAATATTAGGATTCTTACATTATTGTCCTTACATGTCAGGGATCTTACATTATATGTAGTCCTACTGAGCTAAGCTTGCACGGGAAGGAAAGGAGGGTTTTTTTACCAGTTAAACCTAATTATTAGCATGATGAAGAGTTGGAGAAATCAACATTTTTAACTGTATAGGGTGATATGAACGCATATCCTAAAATATCCCAAGTAAAAAGCACTAACCCTTAAATTTTAAGAGCTTTCTGAAAATTTTGAAAGCATTATGAAGTGCTGCACTGTAGGAACCAAGACATCCACTATTTTGGCCACTATAAAGGCCACGACACTGAACTACTCTGCTACTGAGTGTCCATAGCGGCCAGGTGCCACTCTGCTACACAGCTATAACCTGCAATTGACGGGACTAATGGTGGACATAGCAATTATGACATGATTGACACATGAATGAACAAACAGGCGGGCAGCACAGAAGAACTTTACCCCTTTCTAATTATATTTATAAACTGTGACCCATGAAATTCTAACACGACATTCACTAGACAGAAAACCATTAAACTCAAAGAAGCTCCTGAGTCAAATATTAGACATGATAACACATCCATTTACTGCTAACACGTCCTTGGAGCAGAATTTCAGTGGTAGCCTGAGATTTGACATAGCACATATCAGCATGAAACTCAATGAAAACTCTATTATCAAGACAGAATTTGCTGACACTTATCAGGTTCTTTGTAATAGAAGGAACAAGCAGTAAATTATGAAGAGCTAATGGAGTGTTGGGTTTAGAATGAGAGGGAAAATAAGAAGAGACAGAAGAGTGAATGTGCAAACCTTGACCATTACCAATGAAGATCTGATGTATGTTTTGAGAGGCATTGGTAACATGATAAGAAGCTCCTGAGTCTGGGAACCAGGCACTGCGTGGAACTGAAGCTGTGTTAGCAATCATAGCATTGGGAGTGATCTGTGACTGAGGAACAGGGAGAGGAGCGAGTCTTGGTTGATAGCTTGGGCGTGACCAAGTGTTAACCATGGGCTGAGCAAACTGAGGTCCCCCAATTGGTTGATACGGATTGTAGAAAATTTGTAGGTTCATTGTTTGAAAATCAGCAGGTATGTTAGGTCGAAACTGTTGATTGAACCTCTGATGGCAGTTAGCAGCAAGGTGACCAACCATATTTGAAGCAAACTTGACATTGAATGTTGTTGAACCTACCTCTCCCACGGCCGCGTCCACCACCACGGCCAGATGCACGACCTCCTCTTGAATAAGTTGGATTAAAGGTTGAATTCACAGCTTGTTCAGTGCTCTTGTTATTGGAGTTATTAGTTTCAGGTTGAGAATTGGCTTGAGTGAGATTCACTAAGGCAGCCACCTCCATTTGAGAGTGTTTCTTATACTTGTTGAACCTCATCTCATGAGCAAGAAGTAGAGCTTCAACTTCTTCAAGTTCTACTGAATCAAACTTGCTTTCAATGACTGAAATAACAGAGGCAAAGTCTTGAAGAAGACCTTCAAGAATCACATCAATGTGTTGTTGATCTGGAACTGGATCTCCTACTGAAGCAAACGCATCAACAAGAACTTTGATGCGAACCAGGTAATCACCAACAGATTTGTCTTTGTAGATCTGAGCTCCGCTCGTAGTTGTCTTGCTTTCGCACGTGTAAGCTTTTGAAAATGCGCAAGAATACGTTCCCAGAGTTCATAGGAATGAACGCACCCAAGAACGCGTGAAAGAATCGAAGGTGAAAGCGTGGATTGAAGCCACGTGTCATAAGCCACTGATCTTGCGTAATCCAGGTGCGATACGCAGGGTTCTCACGAACAGCTGCACGATCTTCATCAGTTAGGTATTGGTTCGGTATGTCACGGAGGTAAGGTAGTTTTGAAGATTATTCACGTTAACGAAAGGATCTACTTGTTGGCACCAAAGTAGGAAATTCTTCTCATCAAGTTTTTCTGTGATTTTGAGTTGGAATGACATAGATAATGCGGTGGCCGGAGCCGCTGCCATGGATAGAACCGAAGCTCTATGATACCATATTATAGTGAAATATGAGAAAGAAGAGAGAGAAAACTAAAAGAGAAAAGAGAGAAACTGATTTTGTTATTATATTGAATTGGAATGGAGCATGATGCTCTATTTATACAAGAGGAGTTGAACATTCAAGAGCTGAATCATTCAAGCTCTACATTTAAGGATGACCTTAATTATTCTATAGTATTGAACTTTTCTTATTCTATTAAATTAAGGGCCTTAATTATTCTATAGTGCTGATTTTTCATATCCTAAGATATAACTCTAATAACACACATCCATCCCACCTATCTTCTTCCATCTACAGAGACCTCCCTTTTCACGTCAAGAAATCATGATCTTTCTTAATCTTCTGTCTATGTTATATATTTTTCAGTCTATCCATTGGGCAGGCAACACAAGTTACACAACTTGCTCCTTTCACCTTATAAACCATGACCCATGAAACAAAAACGTGGCATTCATCAACCCTCAAACCCTAACAGCATACACTATTATCTCACCTCTCCATATCTGGCAATCTTCCTTTCCAGATGAAGGATCCATTGACTTACCTATTCTTGTCTTTTTTTCAAGTTAGTTACCATATTTATTGGCCTATCCCTTTCATATTTATTTTTCTTCTATTTTATTCAGTCACCTTCAGTTAAATCGATTTTCCGGTCTTTGCTATTTATTTCGTGTTCTCTGTGTTATACTATATTCTGTCAGATTCTCTTATTATTCTTTTCATGTATTCTTCCCTTGTATATTCTTTGCTTTCTATTATTAAGTTCAACTAGGTTTCTATCAATTTATTGTTACTTGAACTCTGTGGCTTTTAATTTTTTACTTTCTATTTAACTTACGCTACGAGGCCTATGACATTGTATTTTAAACTTAAGAACTATGCTAATTTTAGTCAGAGTTATTAATCCCGGATAGCGGAGCGGAGCGGCCGACCCCCGGGAATGGGAAAAGTGGGAATAGCGGGATCCCGGATAGCGGGATAACCTTTTATATACTAATAATTATATTATAATAATCTATAAAAGAGGGCTTGCGAACGGCGGAGATGTGAGACAAGTAGAAGAAGATGGAACGGTGGAGATTGGAGAAGATGTACTTGCTGGAACGGTGTATGGTGCTGTTGCTGCCTTGCTGGAAGCCTGGAACGGTAGAGAAGATGCGGACTGCAGTTGTATGTTGCTGCCTTGCTGGAACTAGAACGGTGGAAGAAGGGCACAAAAATTAGGGCAGAAGAAGAAAGTGAGAAAGTGAAACGAAGGAAAGAAAATATAATGCAAATCTGTTTTAAAAAGTATTTTAAAAGAGGGGTAAAACAGCAATTTTGTTAAAAAAAGAAATTTAAAAAAAAAAACAGGCCAAACCGCTCCGCCCGGGAGGCGCCCGCTATCCGCGACCCGGGATAGCGGCGATAGCGCCCGCTATCTTCTCTCCGCCACCGCATCCTTGTGCGCGCGCGGCAGGCCTCCGCTCCGCTCTGGAGCGCCGCTATAGCGGCCGCTACGGGCGCTATTAACAACTCTGATTTTAGTGGATTCTACATGTTTCATGTTTTGGTTTTATGGGACACTTCTTGAATGTAATATCTGGTTATGTCTATCAGAGGCTACAAAGGCATCAGCCATCCAGTTATGGCGTATTTTTGGTTTGCCACCATAAAGAGCCATTCACCACTAGTAACAATTACAGAAATTTAAGATGAAAGAGTCAAAAATACTATCCTTCTCCGCATGCAATATACTGAATAATCCTAGAACTTTGATTTGGAAAACCCAAATAAATAAATTAGATTTATAAAAAGTAAAAACAAACTATGATGTGCCTGCAAGAAAAGTATCATATGGCTAGTTACAGAAAAACCATATGGAACCCCAAGAGATAGAGACATACCGGCAAAGATCCGTGTCCATACAGGCTGCTTGAAGAAAACATGCCTAGACCAGCTGCACCTTCAGCCCTCTGATCATAAACCAGTGGAGCAGCAGCAGAAGGAATAGAAGGCAGCATAGTTGGGAATGAAAGACCAGCACCACTTGAGTAGAAGGATTCGCCTCCTGTAGAAGAATTATGCCCAGTGTCCTTTTCTCTTAATACATCATCTCTGAGTCTTAAGATAATCTGGATTAGTGCATCTCTTACACAATCAACAGCACCCCCCACCTAAAAAAGAACAATGAATAAAATAAATATCATAAGTGTAAAATGAAATGGGTTTTTATGAAATGACTTGTAATTTATTAGTCACAAATTTGCTTTTCAGCATAGCTTTTTCCATCCAACCATGATTGATTATCAGGCATTCAGAACAAATTCTGTGCAAGGCTTTATGTTAGACATCATATTAGACAAAATACAAGAGGAGAGGATAAGAAATAACTGTAGCAGATACATTTTAGTATTAATTGTCAGCTATGGTGTATTTATGTCAGTAATTAATAGGGAAAGAGGGGGAAAGTTTAGGGGCGAAATTATCAATTGGTTATTGGGAGGGAGAGACCAAACTCTAAGATTCTTGGAAGGGAGAGACCAACTCTAAGATTCTTGGAAGGGAGAGACCAAGACTCTCAAATATCTTGGAAGTACATATAACCTTGTAACTTTACTAACATTGTCTCTCCTGACTTTCCTTTAGGTTATGGCGTGTGATTGTTAACATAAATAGATATCCTCTGTTTAAAACAATTCGCAGAGGAACTATCCTATAAATTATGTTATGACCCTACTTTATTCGAATGTAGATACCAGTTCTAAGCTTTACTGCCAAATGGCATTACTGAATAAATATACTAATGAAACAGGAAAAGTGATAAAGATTTCTTTGGCTTATTATTCAAACCTCAACAAGTTCATCACTGGCATCAGCTCGTTTTGGCTTATCACTTCTAGAGATTCGAATATCTGCCCCAGTTCTCTTCCGAATTTCATTTATGATAGAACCACTTTTACCAATAATACAACCTATCACTTTGCATGGAACTAGAAGTCGAATTGACACTGAGGTATCATCTCCGTCACTTATCTTCCCTTGTATCAGCAGAGCAGCTTCAACTGCCATGGACTTCAGATCACTAGGCGACTGCAAAATGCATAAAACACGTGAACATTTTCCACTAGATGATAAAATATGACAAGATATTCTATATACATCAGGAAAGGGATAATCTCCACCAAAGCATGGATAATGTGATAATTTGCACTATCCAGTCCACAAACTAAAAAATCAAGCATAAAACTAATTATGAAAAGCAATTATCTGATGAACTTTTTGTGTTAAACAATATTATTACGACTCTAACATTACTTACTAGAAGTCTAGTACACCTCTTATAAAAATAAAATAAAAAGTCTAGTACACCTACACTGGTTGAAATTAACAGTCTAGGTCTAAGACTAAGAGGGAGAATACTAAAAATATGCATGAAGAGTGATAAAGAAACCGCATACTTTCACTGCCACATCAGAGTGCTCAATAACTATTCACAAAATGTCAACATAATGAAATCAACATATTTTAATTTTTAGCTTTAACTAAGTAAAATCAGGGAACTCCCCTCCCTCTCATCCTCAGGGAAAACAAGAGTACAAATCTTGTACTGCCAATATTTTCCGAAGAAGGCCCTTTCTTTCCTTTGTCTTTTTCTAAGTGGATCTATTGGTGTTGGCTTCTTGAATGAGTAAGTATTAATCTTCGTAGTTTCAAGGGATGGATTCACTGGCACTTGCCACTTAGCAAAGAGTTATTAACTAGTAACGTTTAACAAGTAATAAAAACAAAAAACTACTAAATATCTCTAGCCATGGATCAAATTTGTTATTAAGTTTGTCAATAAAAATGGAAGATAGTGCACCTCTGTTGCAGTTATAATGATCAAACACTCGTCGTGGTTAGCCTTGGAATCATCAATATCAATACGAGCACCACTTTCCTGCCTCATACTTTTAATTGTACTTCCTCCCTTGCCAATGACACGGCCAATTCTGTCAGTGGGGCATAACATTCTAATAGTTAACTCCTCAGACAGAGAAGCGTCAACACCAGACATTACTGGAAGGGAAGATGAGTACAGGGGCCATGTATTTCCTGCATCAGAGTATCCTTGCAGATCATGTACATTTGTTGCGCTTAAAAATTGGGGAACATGTGAAGACGAGATTATAGGATCTGAAGCTGGGTACAGTCCACCATGAGGAAAAATTGGAACTTCAGAGGGAATGATAATATTGGGTTGGGCTTCAGGTACATTTGTTTCGAGAGATATGTTTTCCTTGGGACCAAACTTGTACATAATAGAAGAAATCGCAAATAGTGCTCTTTTAACTGCTTCTGATTCACCAGTGATCTACTCAAAAATAAAGAAAGAATATAGAAGTAAGATAAAAGTTCACTGCAAAAGTATTTGTTTTAAAATTCCAAAAAAAAAAAAAAAAGAGTTAAAATATGGTTAGAAAAAGATATAAAAACTGCAGTATCTTCTAAGACACTATGAAAATGAATTTCACATTCATATTGAAGTAGCCATTAAATGTGATTTACAATTTTCTTTATGCAAAAGAACAAGTCCAGCATCAAAAATATTATTGATTCTACCCCTGCATGGATGGCTTCTTAGGATGATCCGCAATTCGGGGTATGGAATAATTCATCGGTGCATTCATTAGTTAATTAGCTACCAATTGCATTGATTGAATTTGCTTCGTATATTAGAAACACACAAATTTATTCTTCTCAAAAGACTGGAAATTTGGTTTCTTCCTTTCACAGAGTTAATGAGTCACACATGTACCTTTAAAGAAAGTTTGCACTTTTTAGCCATTGAGGTCATTCTTCAAAGTCCTAGTTCTATCTAATAGTATTATCATTAGACTAATACTACTATGTTGTATGGTTAAATTACTATAATTTTAATCACAATGATTATCATTTTATTCTCTAGAAGAAACAATGAATTTCCGTTTATTTATTATTTTCTAATACTTGACAAATGAATACGACTAGCCAGAACACTGAGAGCCAGCCTCCAATGTAACACACATGACAGCGTGATGCTTAAAATTTCCAAACAATGGAATGGAATGGTGTCTTCGTTCCGCTCCACTCCATTCCGCTCCATTCATTTCATAATATTCAAAACATAGCCAGAGATTATATTATACAGAAAAGTATTCAGAAGAGGATACATGATAACAATAACTGAAAATTCGAAATCCAATAAACACGTTACAAAAAAGTAATGTAATGTAACAACTGATATTGACACCTTTGTCTCTTCACTTGCACAGAAATTAGAAGGCAATGAAAAATGGCTATCCTACATCCATATTATGTTGTGCACTTCGTAGTTTACATATAAATATATAGGGGCAAAGCAAAATTGTACGCTAGTTTGAAAAATAAAATGCACGCATGTATAATAGAGTAAGCATAACATCTCGAAATTGATATAATTAAATGCTTATTTTTCAGAACTACCAAGACAAATTGTATAGCCTTAAATTGCCATTAAGTTAACCGTTTACCCCTATCATGAAATATTATTGGCATATGTCTGTTTGTGGTTAGATGTACATGCCAGTGCTTCAATCAGAGAGATGTTATGAAGTATGAACCCATGCATAAAACATTCAAAATACTAACCGATACAAAATTATCAAACTCCATAGCACATGAGTGTGTTGGTTCAGATGCATCTTTGGCAGTAACCTGAACATTTGCTCTTGTCTTACTTCTCAGCTTTTTAATAGTAGCCCCACCCTTCCCTATGATATTTGCAGACTGGCTTGACGGAACAAGAATCTGGCATTCATCTTTATCATTTCGTTTCCTATTATTTTTCTCAGAGTCTTTAAGAGCTTCAATGGAATTCAATATGGCTACATGAACCTTAAGGAGAGCATCTTGGGCAGCACATAAGGGTTTCCTGTCATCAAACTCATCGTCAATCTCAATCTCCTCCTTCTCCTTAAGTTTGCAGTAGATTGTTATAACCCGATCCTTAGCACCGGGAAATGCATCGACAACCTTGACTTTTGCCCGGGTCTCCTGCCTAATTGAATTTATCACTTTCCCATTCTTTCCAATAACGCTCCCGATAACTTCAACGGGACAAAGTATCCTATAAACAACCAATTCACCGTTGTCGTTGTTTTCGTTCCCGCGTCTCTTTTGATTTTTTGGGTCCCCGTCATGGTCTCTCTGTGAATGATACCGTTTTCCAGTTTCAACCATTATACAAAGTTACAAAATATGACACGGTTAATTCCTGAAAGCAAACCAAAAAATACTCAGATACATAGCAAATAGAATCATGGAAGATTACAAGAAACAAGTAGAAATAGCAAGATTTATCATCAACTAGATGAGAAACATGGATTGAAAACCCTAGAACTGAAGTGGGGGTAAATGCATAAGCAGAGAAAAGATGAACGTGTCATATACGGAATTTTGAATATACCTGATGATTGATGATGCTCACGGTGAAAATGGGCCAGTTAAAACCCTAATCCTAGAGAGAGAGCGAGAGAGAATTCTCAGAAGAAGAACAGTACCCTTTTCTCTTATTTTTTTATCACTAGAAAAATTTCAAAAGATACTAGTGCATTACACTCCATTGAAAGGAGTAAAATTTCGGATGTTAAAAAATTATATAATATAATAAAGTAAGATGAGTATTTTGATAAGTTTGATACTTATAAATAATCAGCGTATCTACTATATTGACATGTTGCTAAAACATGAAAGTTTTATTTAATAAGTTATCATATTATTTTATTTTTTATTTTTTATTGTTATTTTCATTTAAAATACATTAGTTAATTATATAATGTCAATTATTAGTGGCCATATGATTTTTTTTATAATTTTTTATAGGTCATGTAAAAATTTCAACCGTTCCATCTTCAGACTACTCTTGATAAATAAAAAATAAGAAAATCATATGTTTTATTTCTAATTTTTGTCGATAAAAAAATCTCGCTCTCTCACTTTGTTACTCGTTTTCTACTTTTTAATCTCACGCTTGTTTTGTATTTCTCTGTTTTTAAACTCTAGTTCTCACGGTTTCTAATGGTAAAGTTCAAACAACACACAAACAACAATAAAATAATTAAAACCTTAACCCCTTTTGCAACCCTAAATACCCCAGATCCATCATGGTTTTTGCGTCTCCACCAGAACTGCGGTCTCACAACACTCTGACGTCAACACTGCAGCCTCGTTCTCACTCTGCTATGAAGCACTGACAGCCACCACATGTATCGCACTCTACCTCTGTTGTGCCGCCTTTGACACCACTCGAAAAGTCCAGCGACTTCTCTACCGTCACACTCCATTGATGCAACAACCATTGTAACACCTCATTTCTACCCAACGAATTATATAAAATCAGAGTTACCAAATTTCCAACAAATAAATGAAATGCTACAGTTCAGCTTAAAAATAATGATATTCAATCACCTGTAGTTCAGATACATAACACATAAAATTTGGATGAACCAATAACAACTCGTTTACTCTTTAAAAAATAAAACAACTTTCGTTGCTACGCAGAGGATTCACAAATTCAACTGAAAACATCATAACATCTTGGCCAACTCAAAACGCATTTAAGACAGCGAATCTTTAATAAAAACAACTTAAAAATTCAACAACATAATGAAAACCAACAATAAAGAAAGCATGCGTTCATCCCCCCGAGTGCTACGTATCAGAGAAATAACATCGACTCAAACTAACGAAGGTAACAACTATCCTTCTTGATTACCTGCACGTTACCAACAAAGGGCAACATTCAAAGAGAATGGGTGAAATGTCGAACCATATAATTGAGTGTATGATAAATAATTTATTAGATCAGATTATATAAATCATCACTTCACAACTTTCAACCAACATCAATCATCACAAGTCAACAACACAACATGTTAAATATGGAACACGGAATGTGACTCGTTACAATGCACATGTATGTGGTACCAAATGGAGCAAAACTCCTAACTTAGAAATCTATCAATTAATAGAGGCATCAACAAAGCATAAGCCTTCAATTTAATTTGTCAATCCAGGCCAACTTACCGATCATCAACTCTAACTTAATATGCTATGTATGTGACCCAATATGAATGTTAGGATAGCAACAATAAAATTCCATAGCAACGCAACAACAAACCAACATTGGTCATAAGCCCACAACTTAATAGTTTGTCCATAAATAGAGGCAATTCAACAAGATACAACATCACCTGTAAATTCACATTGTTCAACAAGGAACATGATGTCACGAATCAACCAAAATTTACTACAACTAAACTGCATAATTATTCGAACTATTACGTATTTCTGATTAATTAATTATCTAAATGCTTATTTCTAATTACAAAACTCCTAAAAACTTTTATACTAATAATACTAAAATTATTATCATTGTTATTATTATCAATATTATTATTATCAATATTATTATTATTATTATTATTCATACAAATGAAGTATCGATATGTTACTAACTTGAAATTAATTGTTAAACACGCTACAGTAGCCCATGATTATAGTTTCACACTTTAATATACAATAGAACTTAAGTTCATAAATCATTTAGTTTCTAAGGGCCATTACGCTAAAATATATGTTTTTGTTACATGTTATCAAATTGATATGCACCACTAAATTATATCATATCCATTAAAACATGGTCACACAGTAACTACAAGTCTCTATTCTCAAATCAACTCTAAATATCATGCGTTACAGTAAGAACTACAATATATCAGAATTACGCAAAACAAATAAAAGTGGCTTTTAATTATACGAAACAACTATATTGATAATTTTAACAACACTATTGACAACTCTATTGATAGTTCTAACAACTCGAAGAACTATATTGACAACTCTAACATAATAGAAATTAACTTAACTTATCTAAATAATCCAAATGTTATTATGTAACTCAAAACTCTTAAAAATTATTATACTAATAATACTAAATCATTGTTATTATTATTATTACTATTATTATTATTATTATTAGTAGTAGTAGTAGTAGTAGTAGTAGTAGTAGTAATGAAAGATTATATATTAGAAAACTAGAAACATGATTCTCCATTATTATATTAATACTACATATACTGTTAAGTGAAATAATATATATATATATATATATATATATATATATATATATATATATATATATATATATATATATATATATATATATATATATATATATATATATATATATATATATATATACCGCTATAGTATATTAATATATATTATTATTCTCAATTTTAACTCAATACAGTACATACCATAATTTATATATGTATCATAGTGAAGCTTTCTATATAAAAATATTTATCCAAAAGAAAGTAATATATGTAGCAAGTGATGCTACAGTAGAATGACGCTACATCACATCGAAGCAATATACGCAGAAAACCACTAGTATGTATATCTATTATCAATTTCAAATGTACATATATAATGAAAATTGATGCTACATTACCGATATATATATTAAATTAGATTCTAAATCAACTCTCAATTTCACCAATATATTAATTTCAAACAGAAACAGAAATAATTTTTACAACCCAATCCCACATACTATTTGTCATATACCCTATTATAGAGTCATAACCTCACTCTTACCTTGGATTGAAGGTTGTTTTAACTCTCCGATTGCACCTAATTTTGTCTCCTCTTTACACTTCTATGTATATCTTCCAAAACTCTTATTTCTTCCTCTATCAAAACCTATTATTTCTCCTCTTTTCTTTCTAGTGATACTCCTATTTTTCCTATTATTTCTAAATATCTATTATAATATAATTATTATACTATTATTCTTATTTTGTCTTATTGGCCTTAAATTCTTACACCTCCCTTTTTACTACTTATAACATTAAAATAGGCTCACATAAATAATAATAGTATTATTCAATATTAATCCTACAACTTAATCAACTAATTAATTCAATTAAGAACAACACAACTTGAATAAACATTTCACAACTTAAAAAATTTAATCAGAAAAATATTAAAAAATATTTAATTAAATAATTAATTAAATATTGGGTGTTACAACTCTCCTCACTTAGAATATTTTTGTCCTCGAAAATCTACTCGATACTACCACTCTTAACGTGGATTTCGTATCTCACTCTCTGATCCCCAAGTCGTGTTTGGCAACACTTTGACCACTACTTTCTCGATATAACAACAACTCAATACGATTTAAATCAAATACACACATGCTAATCATCCAACACCTTCGCGACATAATCGTTAATAATTTATCAACCACTTCAACAATATTTTGGCATATCAACATTTAAAGTAGTAACAACCATAACACACTTATACTGAAATATACAACATCAAATTATCATCTTAACAACATTTTCAACACCAAAACACATACACAATTTCATTCTTATATATATATATATATATATATATATATATATATATATATATATATATATATATATATATATATATATATATATATATATATATATATATATATATATATATATATATATATATATATATATATATATATATATATATATCAATTATCAACAAAATATCAACAACTCTATTCATGTCGTCGTATCACCCTTATAGTAACATCAACATAGCCAACATAATCAACTTTCTCATATTATAGAGTACTATTCACCATTTACGCTAACCAACAACAACATCACGACAAAGGGAACAAAATTATCATAACATCAACTTAACAGTATAACTCAACAAATATACACACAACTCACCATCAACCAACAACCACATTAATATCCTTATAAAATCAATAAATATTTACGAGAAAACACATTACCCTGGCACATCATCCATATATCAATAATCTACCAAATTAAACATGTAGATCAAGACATATCATTCCCATAAGCTTCTGATATTTAGTCATTCACTTCTAACGAGTTGTACAAGTATAGCAATTGCGCCACATCACGCTTTAGCTGCACAACTCTGATCATCCATCTTACGTCACCGTCCTCATTAAAATTTTCGTCAAATATATGATTTACAAGTTTCAACCTAATTTCGGACTTTCTTTAACATCCACCATAAAATAGTTGTTCACTTGATATTCTCAATCTTTCACTTTGTGATGTTAGCTCGCATATAAACCCGCTGCTCCAAATTGGTCAATACGTCTCAACTCTTTCCTAGCCACTCCTCTATTAATTTACACA